TATCTTCGCCATTTCCGACAGCGAGTGGGTCAATCCCACCCAGGTGGTACCCAAAAAGGGTGGATGACCGTAGTGCCTAACGAGAAGAATGAGCTCATCCCGACGCGCACGGTGACTGGGTACCGTGTCTGCATTGATTATAGGCGTCTCAACGACGCCACTCAAAAGGACCACTTCCTGCTGCCCGTTCATTGATCAGATGCTGGAGAGACTGGCGGGGCACGAGTTCTACTGTTCCTAGATGGGATGCCCTAGTATTTCCAGATCCCCATTGCACAGGAGGACCAGGCGGGACACCACTTTCACCTGCCCCCTCGGCACTTTTCAGCGATGCATGCTCGCCATCTTTGACCGTCAGGTCGGCGAGATTATGGAGGTGTTTATGGACAATTTCTCGTTTATGGAGACTCATTCTCTCACTGTCTCATAACCTGGAAATTGTCCTTAAAAGGTGTGAAGAAACGAACCTGGCAATGAGTTGGGAGAAGTGTCATTTCATGGTTCGCGAAGGCATAGTTCTGGGGCATAAGATCTCCAAGATGGGGATTGAGGTGGACCGAGCAAAGATTGAGGCTATCAGCAAGCTGCCTCCTCCTACATCTGTTAAGGGGATCCGGAGTTTTTTAGGCCATGCAGGGTTCTACAGGTGGTTCATCAGAAGATTTTTCGAAGATCGCCCTGCCCCTGACTAAGCCCCCTTCCAGTTCACTGATGCCCCCCTTCTAGTTCACTGATGCATGCACAGCGGCATTCACGACCCTGAAGGAGAAGCTCACCCAAGCTCCTATCATGGTTGTTCCTGACTTGTCCCTCCCATTTGAGCTGATGTGTGATGCCAGTGACTTTGCTGTTGGAGGTGTCTTGGGGCAGAGGCGAGATCAACACTTTCGACCTATCTACTACGCCTCGAAGACCCTAAATGATGCATAGGAGAACTACACCACTATGGAGAAGGAGTTGCTCGCAGTGGTGTTTGCCTTCGACAAATTTCGTCCCTATCTGGTCTTGTCCCATGTGACCGTGTACACAGATCACATCCGCGATTCGATACCCGATGAGCAAGGCCGATGCCAAGCCTAGGCTCATACGATGGATCTTATTATTGCAAGAGTTCGACATTGAGATTCGGGACAAGAAGGGAGCGGAGAGTGTTGCAGGCAGATCACCTCTCCCGGTTGGACGCACCCCTGCGGACAACCTCGAGGAGGAGATCAACGACTCCTTCCCAGATGAGAGACTGATGATGATGTTCCTGGTGGAGAGTGTCAAATCTGGTGGGCCGGCAGCTGCCCAAGGGGATAACAACTCACACCAAGAGGAAGTTCTTCTCCAACCTGAAGCATTACTTCTAGGATGACCCTCATCTCTTCAGGATCGGAGCCGACGGATCATCCGTCGCTGTGTTATGGAGAGTGAGATAGAGCTACTGGCATTCTATCTCACTGTCATGAAAGACATACTGGCGGGCACCACGGAGGAAACTGCACGGCGAGGAAGGTGCTCCAATCGGGCTTTTAGTGGCCCACGCTCTTCAAGGACGCAGACGCCTTCGCAAGCAGGTGCGACCGATGCCAGAGGTCGGGTAACATCTCTGCCCGTGATGAGAGTGCCCCAGAATGTGTTTATAACCTGTGAAATTTTTTATGTCTGGGGTATCGACTTCATGGGCCCCTTCCCTCCATCCTTTGGCAATACTTATATCTTGGTTGCTGTTGACTACGTCTCTAGGTGGGCTGAGGCGCAAGCTTTGCCCCCTAATGATGCTAGAACGTGTTTGTGGTTTTTGAAGCAGTTATTCTCCCGGTTCGGGACACCTAGAGCCATCATAAGCGATCGAGGCACCCATTTCCAGGGCCAGTTTGATAAGTTACTATCTCGCTATGGTGTGACTCACAAGGTGTCCGTGGCCTACCACCCTCAAACCAGTGGCCAGGCCGAGCTGACGAACCGGGAGCTCAAGCGTATCCTGGAAAAGATGGTGGATCAGTCCCGCAAGGATTGGTCCACCAAGCTCGATGATGCTCTCTGGGCATATCGCACTGCCTACAAGACTCCCATTGGTACTTCACCGTACCAACTTGTCTATGGAAAGGAATGCCATTTGCCCGTGGAGCTAGAGCACAAGGCCTTTTGGGCCCTTAAGCTGCTCAACTTGGATGTTAGTGTTGCAGGTGTTGAGCGCAAAAATGCAGATGTTGGGAGCTGGAGGAATGGCGTTACAACGCCTATGAGAACACCAAGCTGTACAAGGAGCACACTAAGCGCTTGCACGATGCACGGTTGCGGGGTCCGAAAGAGTTCCAGGTTGGTGATCGAGTTCTCCTTTATAACTCTCGCTTGAAGCTCTTTCACGGAAAACTCTGTTCCCGGTGGTCTTGACCGTTCACGGTCACACAGGTGTTCCCGTGTGAATGGCCATCGTCTCAAGCTCTACTTGGGGAACATTGTCGAACGTGCGGAGTTGGTAGTGGAACTCGCGGACCCTTAGTTCCGCCATGGGCGTCCAGCTAAAAAACGGTAAAGAAGCGCTTGTGGGGAGGCAACCCCACCTAGGTTTGCATTTCTTTTCCTTTCTTTTTGTTTTTTTTTTTTTGTTTTTTTGTGTTTTTTAGTCTTGAGGTGTTATCCAAGAGTCGAATGTCGAGTTTGCGCGAAAACAGGTCAATTTCGGGGCTCTGGAATTCTACACGGCCTAGGCTAAATTCCACACGGCCGTGTGGAATTGGCTTGAGGCCGTGTGAAGCCCCTGAAATTTTCACACGGCCGTGCAGGATTGGCCTTTGGCCGTGTGAAGGCTCAGAAATTTCCACACGGCAAGCATTGCTTCCTATGCGGCCGTGTGGATTTCCTCGGCCAGCCCGTGTGAAATCCTCGGCCACACACGGGCAAAAACCTCGGCCACACGGCCGTGTGGCCTGCCCGTGTGGCTGACCCGGCGCCTTTAAATTCGACCGACACGGCCGCGTCGCCAGAGAAACCTCTCACCCCTCGTAGGAATCCTCTCCCCCTAACCGGAAAACCACGATTTTGAAAAAAATTTGGCGATTTTTGGTCAGTTTTTCACCAAACCACCTCCCAACCCAATCTTCCCTCATCCTTTTCGGCACTTTCCTTGACTTTGGGGCGATTTGGGCCGGATTTGGGTCACTGGAGGCGATTTCCGGCGAGGCTCCGACGAGCATTTCCGGGCAGATTTTGGTGTTTTCGGCGCTTCCATTGCCTCCCCTCATCATCCCCTACACCTCTACTTGTGTCTCCAGGTTTGATTTTGCCCTTTACCTTGTGTTTTGTGGAGAATTGGGTGTTAGGGTGTACTTTTAGAGAACCACTTTGAATTGTGTGAGTTGATTGAAATTGATTGAGGGGAAGGCTTGGGTTAGGTGTGAATTGTGTTGGGCAATGTCCCCCATGCTTGATTGAGCCCTTGTGTGCTAGAATTGTGCCAATTCCATGCTTAACCTAATAGTGCACACAAGGTGTTCGATGAAATGCAAGTTTTTCATACCATTTTGTGGGAGCCGGTTGGGGCCCTTAATGATGTGCTTTGAGAATGTATTTGCTATGGATGTGAACCTTAAGTTGCCTACTTCATCATAGATGTGCACCCCCACCCAGATTATGCTTTTTTGATCGAGTTTTTGACCCCCGAACTATGGATAAAACCATGGTTCGGCTGTTTTTTGCTCTCTAGTGTGGGTGTGTGATTAACCTTTTCTTTGGGCTTTTCATGGGTTAATTGCAAGGTTGGTCACGGAAACGTTCAAATTTGATCACTACAAATATTTAATTTCACTCGTGGTCACTAATTTTATATATTCGTTTCACCAATGGTCACTCTCCGTTAGGGGTGGGCATTAGGTAGGTCGGGTGGATTTTGACCATAAAATGCACTCACCCGCGCTTACACGGATTGATAATTTTTAAACCCACCACCCACTCACATTTAGTCTCGGGTTGGGTCGGGCGGATAGTGGATGATTTGGGTGGGTTTGTGTGTTCACCCACATCACAATGTATATAATATAAACTTATAAAGGAGTCAACTTGACATGATAACAGGCGAAGAAAGTTATCTGGAGAAACAAGATGATAAAATAGCGCGAAAAATGTCGAATTAGTTCTTAATATTTTGCTACAGATTGAGATGATACCAGGTGCAAGGAGCTAAGAAAAATAATTCCACAAAGGAAAGAGTAGTGATCTAGGCAAAAGAATTAGAGGAAAAAATAAAGGGAAGAAGAGGGGATCGCTATTTGGAAGGTTGGCTTTGAGTTTCGAACTCCAGGAGCAGTCCTAGTTTATGTCTAACGGCTCCACTCTCCCCTCTCTAGTGTCGACGACTTTGATCTTTTGCTGTTGGGTTGAGCGGGTCACCCGCGCACCCACCCACAACCCACCCACCACCCGGCGGATGCCTCCTAGCGCAACCCGTCACCCACCCATAGACCCACCCACTTAACGAAATTCGGGTCAAATGCGGGTGGGTCGGCCCAAACCCGCGGATGATCCGCCCGTATGCCCAGCCCTACTCTCCGTTAACTTCATCCTAAGTGGCAGTTAACTCTCAAAGTTGATCGTTAAATGTGTGACGTTGCAATTAAAACATTAATAAAAAATAAAATGAAATATTTTAAAATTTCCACGTGATTATCAAAATTATACAAAAATAAAAAATGAAAAGTAATTTGTTAAATCTTCGCCGGTCGCCATCACTGTAACAACCAGGACCCCGCAGCGCATCCTCTGGCTTTTGAGTAGCTGACGACTGGCCAGATCTGTCTCTCTCCCTAGGTTGTTCTGGTGATCAGAGGATAGCGGTAACGAGAGAAGGTGATGCGGGTTAGGTCAAATGAGAAGCAAGTTATAATACAATCAACTAACTTCAAATTAAAGCTGGTAGAATACTGAATAAAAAAAAAAAAAAAAAACAAAGCAAAGGAACAAGGAAATTACTACTGTTGAAGCGAGCTAGGCCATGCCTGCAGAGAGACGGTGGAGGGAGGCAACTGGAAGAGGAATAAATTAAATGAGTGACGGTAGCATGCACTACGTCCAGAACTTGAAGCGCTCCGGCCGGCCTTCAGCTCCTCCACAACTAGGGACTCGACGGTGGGGCCTGGTGGTTGCAGCGGCATTTTTTATTTTTTTGTAATTTTGATAATGAGGTGGAAAATTTTAAAAAAAATAAGGCAAAATACACTTTCATAGCCATAATTATTCGCGTTGTGACAATAATAGCCACTTTTTGAAAAATACACTGATATAGCCATTCCGTCCCAAACTTTAACGGAAACATCATCCGTGCTGACTGGACTAACGGTTTATACTCACGTGGCAATTTTTACTCTTGACTTTTCCAAGTTAGAAATATTATAATTTTAATTAAGTGAAAAACAAAAAAAAATAAAGAAAATGAAAGCGAAGATGAGCAGAGGCATTAGTGCCCTCAACAATGCCACATCTCCAAATCTCCAAATCTCTTTTCACCCTCAACGATGCAGCTTCCGCTTCATCTTCTTCTTCTCGTCGCTGCCAGTCCTTCGGCCGCATCCACCAGCTCCGTCGCAGACCAGAATCATGCGGCGAGGCAGGAGCACCAGATTCACCTGCTTCCCGTCGGCGAGGAGCGAGTATCGCATCGGCTCGTGGATTTGCGGCAAAGGACTCGACCCGACCGGACTGGGGTTTGGAGACAAGGATTGGGACGGCGAGGATTGGGTTCCCTATGCTTTTGGGTTTTCCAGGTTACACGAGCTCATGGTCGCCAAGGATTCGAGAGCCCTCCCTTCTCAGCAGCTCTCGCTCTCCCTCGCTTCTGATTCCTCTTATACCGCCGTTTGAGGTGAGATAGACTCAAAGGGGACCGAGCTGTAGAGTTGGAGCGGGTGGGTTGGAGGAATTTCACACAGATCCAGTACACCTATACCGGTGATTAATTTCACACAAATCTCAGTGCCGGGAGAGGGGACTTCTGATGGCTGGTTGTGAATTTCACACAGATCTAGTACTCATGTGCTTCATCCGCGATTCGAGAATAGAGGAACTCTGTTTTTTTCTGTTGAATGTCGTAAATCAGACCTTCTAGTGGTGAGCTAATGTTGATCCGTTCAAAGGCATCCCTTCAAGCACAAGAAATTGGAAGGGCCAATTCTAGAGGGACAGAGAAGGAAGGGTGAGTGACCACGGTGGGTGGATTTGAGAGATTGGGATAAAAGGGGAAAGTTCTGGATATGATAGAGGACAAGAGGAGAGATGTGATTTTGTGGATGGATCTGAGAGATTGGGAGTACGAAACGGTGAGGGTGAAAAGAGATTTGGATCTGCTGATTCTCTCTTCCTTATCTTTCTCGCAGCAGCCGGAGCTCCAAATCGATTCGTTGGTGCCTTCCAGCTTTGTCTCCGCCACCCACTCATCTGTATTCGGTTTATGATGCAGTGGAGATGCATCGCCCCCATCATGGCGGAATCGAGTAATTAATGGGGGAAAGAGAGGATTTGAAGAGAGGAGTTATGGTTTTGGATCTACTGATGAAGGTTGAAGGCGGAAGAGAAGCAGCGCCGATGGGGAAGGGATTTGGGGAAGGATTGGAAGTTGGAACGAAAGAATAGAGAGAGAAAGAGGAAATAAAATATACTATTTCTTTCTTTCTAAAATTTTTTATTTGATTTCTTTATAAAATGAATGATTTTTTGTTAAAATTTTGTTTATATGACGTGGCATCTAGGTGGCACAAAGACGTCCAGTTGGCGATGATGTGTCGTCCAGATGGCATCCACCTCAGCGAAACGTGGAGGTTACTAACGGCGTTCGTAACGACGTTAAAGTTTGTAAAAAAAATGGCTAAATTTGTCAAGCAAGTTTGAAAAAGTGGCTATATCTGTGCATTTTCAAAAAGTGGCTATTATTGTCACAACGCGAATAGTTTTTGGCTATGAAAGTGTATTTTGCCAAAAAATAATTTATTTTTTAATTGTCACGTCACACATTTAATGATCAACTTTGACAGTTAACTACCACCTAGGATGAAGTTACGGAGAGTGACCATTGGTGAAAAGATATATAAATTAGTGACCACGAATGAAATTAAATATTTTTAGTGACCAAACGTGAACGTTTTTAATAATTCTAGTGACCAACCTTGCAATTAACCCGACTTTGACTTTTCTTTGTTCGGCATGTCAATCGATTCTTATATGGGTATATATAATTGTTTGTTAGTTGACAAACAAAAAAGCTCAAATTTTTACAAGCAGAGTGGAAGTTAGCGTGCTCGGGATTCATAGTGGCTTCATCGATCAGCTTCCCGAGATCAACAATTGGAACATCATCGTTAGAAACATTGGGTTGGACTTGATCAGTGCGCAAGTATCTGGAGTCTGGACTGGACGACGCTGATTTCGTCCTAATAAACTCCTGGACGGAAGGCACGAGCAGAGAGCTGTTGAGGTAAGTGGATTTCATTTGATTCCATTCTGCTTTTTCTTTCTGGTTGGTTTCGAGTTATAGGGATTTGGTTTTGGGTTTTGTAAATTTGGGTTTTTTTATGGAGTTCTCCGTGATCTATTTCAAGAGGAGGGCTGAAACGATCTCTACTCGAGTCCCCACCAGAGAGATTAGCCGGGAATCTTGGTTGCCAATCCTTCATCGTCGCCCGCTGCAGACCCACTTCCACCATTGTTTTTGTTCTTCGCTCAAAGCTCCATCCTGATTCATCAAATTGTGTCGCCTGCAGTCAGTGGCGTAGCCAGGAATTATGCCAAGGTGGTGCAAAAAAAAGAAGCATAAGTTATATTAATTTTTTACAATGACCCACGACGTGTTTTCGTAGTCTGAAAAGTATCTAAAATACATTCATCATCCAAACTATCAAGGATGTCACTCTCAATGTAACCAACCAAAAAATCATTCATGACGTCATCACTCATTATATTGCGAAGTGTGTTCTTCACATAATTCATTGCAGAAATGCTCTTTCAACGCTTGCCGTGGCAACAGGAAGCAACAATGCCAATTTCAGAAGTCGATAGACTAATGGAAACACCCGATGTTTCTTTGATGCAACCATTTCTCTAGAAAGTTCAGCAATTCCCTTTAATCCTGCAAACCTCTCAACTGTCTTCATATCATATATATAAGCATCAATATGATGAAGACCAAGATGTAAAATATCATCTTTGGAGAACTCAGTAGGATAAAAAAGTAGCAAGCTTCACCAACTTATCCTTGTCAAAGTCGACAAACAAATCGTCTAGATTTCAGGGGAGAGGGATGAGGAAGAGGAAAGTAGGCAGAGTAGAATAAGGGCTTCGGGTGGAGAAATAGACGAGGTCGTTTAAATTTAAGTAGACTAACATGTTACAGAAACGATAAAACAAGTTAAATGCTAATAATGACAAGACAAGGAGTAAATGGTGTGATGGCTGAAGCAATTTACGGATTAAGGAAGGTCACCAGTTTGAAAACTTCATTGCAGCAGGTGTCTAGCTGTATTTTTTTGCTGGGCCTTGCCAGTCCAAGGTGGTGCAGCCGACCTCCCTTGGGTGGCTGTGGCGGAGCCACAGCCTGCAGTGCTACAATCAGCTCTCCTCTAACGTTCAGCACTGGTTGTTTTATGCCAAAAAAATGACGCAATCATGAAGGTCAAGAACTACTTGAACTCTCCGAACAAGCAAAAGCTATTTTGAATCCTGCATTGGTGAGTATTCAAAATTTGACGGATGAAAATTTTCTCTTTTTATTGCTTCCCAAGTGAGTAAATAAGGAGAAATCCAATATAATGAAAGATTTGGATGAAATTCTTCATAAAAATTCTCATCCAAGCCACCCTAAAAGTAATTGCTGGAAGTTGTTGGAATGCGGAGAATTCTTCCCTACTCGAACATGTTATGGGACAATCCAAGTACCATATCGGAAATACAAGGGAAGGAACCCTTATATATTAGTGTCCACCAAGCTCATTAGTACGAGACCTTTTGGGGAGGACACCCAAGAGTAAAACTGTGCGATCTTGGCCCAAAGCGGACATTATCGTACTAATTGAACGGCCCGGTTCGACAAGTAGTATCAGAGCCTGGTTCGGATCCAGGGTGGTGGACGTCAGTTAACCTATGTGGATTGTACCCTAACAATCCTCCCCTCAAGACAAGGAGCACGAACTTTGTGTCCTCACCTCAACAATTTTCTTGATCCACCAGACACCTTGTATTGATGGGCTTCTCGCTATAAGGATTTTCCCAAACGCGGAACTCTCTTTGATCCGCCAAACAAAAGTGGATCTCTCCTAGATCCACCAGACAGACGCGGACCTTTGACCCACCAGACCAGATGTAGCCCAAACGTCTCTCGTGGATCCACCAAACGAGACGCAGATCTCAAATCCCGAGGTCACCGAACGAGGGTCCACTGAACTGACGTCCACCATCCTGGATCCGAACCAGGGTCCGATACCACTTGTCAAAGTCGGGCCGCTCATTAGTACGATATTTTCCGCTTTGGGCCAAGCTCGCACGATATTACATTTTGGGTGTCCTCCCCAAAAGGCCTCGTACTAATGAGCTTGGTGGACACTAATATACAAGGGTTCCTTCCCTTGTATTTCCGATGTGGTACTTGGATTGACCCATAACAATCCTCCCCTCAAGACAAGGACCACGAACTTCATGTCCTCACCTCAACGATTATCTTGATCCGCCAGACACCTTGTATCGATGGGCTTCTCGTTACAAGGATTTTCCAGACGCAGAACTCTCTTTGATCCGCCAAACAGACGTGGATCTCTCTTGGATCCACCAAACAGCCCAGACGCAGAACTCTCTTTGATCTGCCAAACAAACGTGGATCGCAAATCCGAGGCCACCAAAGGAGGGTCCACCAAACTGACGTCCACCGCCCTGCACCGAACCAGACTCGCAAATCCGAGGCCACCAAAGGAGGGTCCACCAAACTGACGTCCACCGCCCTGCATCGAACCAGACTCTGATACCACTTGTTGAGTCGGGCCGCTCAATTAGTACGATATTGTCCGCTTTGGGCCAAACTCGCACGGTTTTACTCTTGGGTGTCCTCCCCAAAAGGCCTCGTACTAATTGGGCTAGGTGGACACTTATATACAAGAGTTCCCCCCCTGTATAACCGATGTGGTACTTGGATTGTAACCTAACAGAACATAACATTAATTTGGCATTCTAACAAATCCCCACTTAACACTCTCTGTCGTGCTTCTTAAAGCATCGATATGTAAGTTTTGACCTATCGTTAGAAAATGATATATCTAGGGACCTATGGTTGCTAGCAAGAAACACAAGTAAAACTTGGTGTAATTGAGAGACCATGGACTAGACCGTATACAATACGATTCAGACCACGCCTGTACAGTACGGTCTGGTACGGTCTTAACCATATACCATGTTTAACAAAATCTATATTATTCGATATTAAATATTAGCTAGTAACATAATTCAAACAAAACAAAACACATCGACATCTTATACTCATACAACAAAGTTCAAAAGTCGACACTCAACATAACATGAATGGATAGAGACACGGTATGAGCAAAATAATCTTGACCATATCAAACGAAGCGACATAAGGAAATGATAAATAATCTTTAACGATGCCATACCGACATTCATTACCATAGAATAAGAGGTAGATGAACTGGAGGGGGAGGAAGCTCGCGATTGAGAGATTGAAGGTTGGAGGAAATGGTCTGGCTAGAGGGGGGTGGTAGCTCGCGATTGATGCTCGGACCAAACTGGTTGGAGATTGAGGTACGGTCGTCGGAATTTCTCTAGTGAAGAGGGACTGGACGGAGGGAGTGATCATACTAGAGGGAGAGGAAGAGGCAGACCGTCAGCCGTCACGATTGTGGGAGGGCCGTCTCCGGAGATTGCCGCTCGACGCTCGTGATTGCTGGTTTTCGCCTGCTGATTAGACAGTCCACGCCGACGAACAGGAGTTGAGACTTGGGAGGCGTCGACCATCGAGGGCTCGAGGCGAGGGGAAGGTAGGTATTTTCCTTCGGCTCTTGCAGTTTGACCAGTGGATGGAAGTGGTGATGAAGAAGATTAGGGTCATAGGGGAAATTGGGCCTTGGATGGGACGAAGCTAGGGCCTGAGAGTAGGTTTCTGTTGTAAGCCTACAACCCCATATTAGTATACAAGTAGACATTGTGCTCGCGGTCCGAACGGTTCACCACGGTTTAGACCAGATCAAAACGTCCCGGACTGCAAATTAAAGAGACAGACCAAGGACCATACCAAATTATATTCATGATATTATGGTCCGGATCAAACCTTACGATACGATCTAAACCGCTATTTGACATATGGTTAAGCTAGTGGCGGACCCATAATTATTGAAGAGGGTGCCGCAGATAAAAATTATAATAAGTAAAATAATTTCATAGAAATTACTGGAAATTCATTTATAAGTTCACAACGTCATGTTTACTACGAATTATGACGAATTTTCACATCCTGAGATTTTTTAAAATACATTCGCCGTTTATGTTGTAAATCAAACCTTTTTTTATATACACAACTACATAATCATTCATAAATTAGTCACTCAAACAAAGAGATATCATTAGCATTTTTTCTCTAGTTCTATCAAATTAACCAAAATCAAACCACAATGTCTCATAAGTATACGCAATTCACCTATTAACTACAAATCGACAAGTTAAATTGGGTTGTGGGTTACTTAAAACAAGCATGCTTATTTGATTTTACTTATTATTGTTAATTACTAATTATGATGAATAACTTTATAACATTAAAACTATTGTCGTATAATGAAAATGTATCGCTTATAATTATTAGAGCGGTGTCGGAAGTCCCAAATCAAAAAAATTTATACCGAATATATAAAAGTTCTACACAAAATTTTTGGGCGGAGGTGTGTCGGACGACACCCCACCCCTTGCCCTAGGTCCGCCCCTGGGTTAAGCTGGCAGATTTATCAGTCCGCCCCTCATTCTTTTTGGTGGAATTATCCTGGACCATTAGACGAGGGAAGCATTGGGAAGTGGATAATGAAGTTTTGAACATAGGGGTTTGGAATACCTTCTTAATAATTAAACAAAATATTCTCTACCATGTCCAAAGCAAATGATCCAAGCCACCAAACTCACACCAAATTTCTATATTTGCCGTCAATTTAGCGCCGAGTAACGTACACAAATTACCAATCTAATAAATAACAATGGAAGATTGTTGGTTATTGCGACCTGGAGTAGACGAGACGAACTAGCGGGAGGGAGATAAAAATATTAAATAACCGAATCAAATTAGTGGTTGGAATAGTAGAAACCACCAAATCAGTAATAATATTGGTTCGATTTATTTTATTGGACAGCTAAAGATTGACTGAACTGTTTTACTGGTTTGATATGAAATCAAATGAATCGCTCTTATTTGACTTGTCCGTTGGTTCACTATTTAAACTATAAAAAATTTAAGAGAAAAATAGTTTAACAACAACTAAGATTACCCAACTTGTATTATTAATTTTATTTTTGTTGCATTTTCTTTGTTTTTCAACCTTCTTGTCGGGTTAATATGGTCCACTGCGAATTGTCACCCTAAATACTAACTTGAATTTAATAGAAAGATTATGATTTCTTTTGTGAGATAGTTTGGACAATTTGTTAGAACTTTTGGTGATGAATGATATTGCTTTGAAATTGTTTATGCACTACAAAAAAAAAGGGTCTATGGCAAGGGTTATTTTCCTTCGTAGCAAGGGTTTAGACAACCTTTGGACGGATCCTTGGCAAAGCCGCCCCTGCTACGTGTAGCAAGAGTTATAGGCGACCCTTGGTGCAAGTCCCCTGCAACGGTTGTAGCAAGGGTTTAAACCCTTACTACACGTATGTGAAAAATTCAAGCGTGAGTTGCTCGTACCATCGGTTATAAACCTTGCATAATTTGTTCCTACATCTATCAAGGGTTTCAACCCTTGTTACAGGCCTTTGTAACTTTATGTAAAATTACTGAAGATACGCTACTTGCAAGGGTTAAAACCCTTGCACAGTAATAGACCATTGATTGCACATGTTTTTACCCCTATTCTTGAGCCGTTTGAGATATCGATTCTCGCGTTTTAGGCCAATTTCACGCTAAGTTGTTCTTGTTTGTGATATTTCAGGTCCTAGTACGTGAATGAAGGCATGGGAACGAGTTCGGGGTCGATTGGACGAAGATTGGACGTTTGTCAAGAAGCTGAGGAAGCCACACGGGCACTCCTAAAAAACCCACACGGCCGTGCGACCTGGCCGTGTGGCACCAAATTGCACGGCCAAGTTACACTGGCCGTGTAGGGGACCCTTTGTGGCCGTGTGGAAAGTCCAGGGAGCTCACACGGGCAGCCTGGAAATCCACACGGCCGTGTGGTTTTGGCCGTGCAGCAGGCTTGGAAGTCATTTAATCGAAACTCCGCGTTTTGACACTCACATGGGCAGCTGGGAAAGTCACACGGCAGTGTGGCCTGGCTGTGTGATCGGGAATTTCTGGTTTTAACCCAATTTCCAGCCAAAGGAGAGGGGGTTCCAAGTTTTAGAGAGAAAAAGCCATACCTAGAGAGAAAGTGACGAACCTGAGTCTTCAAGTGTCTTTGATCGATCTCCATCACCATTGGAGCCCGGCTTGAGTTTGGAGAAGATCCGATTGAGTGCCAGAAGCATATTCCACCGCTAGATAATAAGAACTCACTGCGTAGTCAGCACATCTAGGACCCGGGTTGACATTAAAACCCAAACCCGCTATACTACGCTTTAGGAGGTGGTTACACTTGGCCATTTTCTAGAGTGACGGTAGGGAGCGAGTCAAGTTTTTGGCGCCGTTGCCGGGGACAACTAGTTTGTTGAAGAAACGTGATTTCTGTTAATTTAGCATTTTCATTTTCGCATTGATTGTTCGTTCTTTCCCACTTGTGCCTTCATGGGTTTGCATTGCTTGACTGTGTGCAGATAGTGCATGACCCGTAGCCAGTCACGAGGTTTACTGCCGTTGGATCCGGAGCTTGAACGCACCTGTCGCCAACTTAGGTCGCCAACTTAGGAGACAACAGCGAGCTAGACTGGCTACGGGGGAGCGGATAGACGGCCACTTGAGTAGCGATTCTTAGGAAGAGTACGAGATGGAAGGTGAACACAACCCACCCCAGGGGATACCTATCCAGGTTCCCCCGGTGAATCAGATCTTGGGGAACAACCCCATACCCCAGGCAGATGGGGTTCAGCATCCACCGCCGCCGCCGGGTCCCACCTTGGAGTACTACTACAATCCACGAGTCGCTGATATCCGCCCAGTCATCCTCTATCCAACTATTCCAGCAAACAACATCAAGATCAAGCCATGCTGGATTCAACTCATTACATCCTTTATCCAGTTTCATGGCTTGCCGGATGAGGAGGCAAGGGTGCATCTTTCCCGTTTTTTGCATCTGACGAACGGGTTCAAGATGAATGGTGTACCCGATGATGCGATCCGCCTTCACCTCTTCCCCCATTCTCTGGCGGGGCATGCTAAGAGGTGGTTGGGAGACTCAGCCCCCACTGTCCATCACTTCTTGGGACGATCTGGCTGATAAGTTCGTGCATAGGTACTATCCGACATCGAAGACCACAGAGATCCATCGGGAGATCACTCACTTCCTCCAAGAGCCAGATGAGTCACTTCAGTGATGCATTCACGGTGGGGAACTTCTACAGTGCTCTCTCTCCGGAAAGCCAGAGGGTGATTGAGTCTCTATGCCCAGGAGGGGATATTCTTACTAAGACTCCACTCAAACTGAACCAGATGATCAGTAATTTGGCTGCCAGAGATCATTCCTGGGGGCAGAGCACCAGAGGTAGGCATTCCCGGGACAGTGGTGTGCACGCCATGGAGGCCAGGTCTGGGCTAGAGCGGGAGGTGGCTGAGTTAGTGCAGACATTGAAGCAGCCCAACAGTCTTATTCCGGGCAGAGGTTCGGTTGTACCTCTAGTAGCTCAATGTCAGTGGTGTGAGAGCCCGAATCATCTGGTGGAAGACTGCCAGGCTATGCAGGAGTCTTCTACTCCCCAAGAGCAGTTGGACTTCATCGCCAATGCTCGGCGCCTTGATCCATACAGCAATACATATAATGAGGGGTGGCGCCAGCATCCCAACTTTGCTTGGAATAGAAACCCCACTAAACCACCTGGTTTCCTTAGCACCAGCGGGTGGTTTTCAGTAGAGGCAGCCTTACCAAGCTAGACAGGGGCCAGTTCAACACTTCCAGCCGACAATGCAGAAGTGGGGACGGATAAAGAAGCACCTGCTCCCAAGCCACAACCAGTGGTTAAGGAGCATGTACCCCAGCTTCCCTTCCCCACTCGCCTACATAAGACAAGCTGGAGACTGAGTTTGCCAAATTCATGGCAATGTTGAAGCAGGTCAACATCAGCATGCCGTTCGTGGAGGCACTGTCGAAGATGCCCAAGTACGCCAAGTTCATGAAAGACCTCCTCACCACAAGAAGAAACTTGGGGATCTTTCGATAGTGATGCTGAGCGAGGAGTGTTCTGCTATCCTGCAGAACAAGCTGCCCGAGAAGCGTAAAGACCCAGGGAGTTTCACTATCCCTCTTGTTATTGGCAGCATGCATGTAGGAAAGTCCCTTGGCGGACCTAGGAGCTAGCATAAATGTCATGCCCTACAAATTGTTTAAAATGCTAGACCTAGGTGAACCTAGAGCTACTAGG